ACATGTGACTGCTTTGCTAATTACTCCACAATTGCATGCATATATAAATATCTATTCCACACTGACCTCTACCTCTCTTTTCCTTTGCTGCTGCTGCTCTTCATTTTCCCCATCTTCAGCTTCTTCTTCTTCATCCTCTGAAACCACTGAGTTTGAGACAATGACAGGAGTCCAGCGTAGGCATTCTGGATCTACAACTACAGGCCGGAGATTCAGTTTCAGCTTTGCCATGTGGTCTTGGATAAGCTTCTCCCGCCGGACAATCACAAATCTGAGAATGAGGAAAAAATGATTCAGCCAAATTTTGATGTTTAAGTACAGGTAACAAACGTACGGACGCAGGGAGGAAGAGTGACCAGAGGAGGATGCCCAAAAGACTGTCACATTACTAAGCAGCTGCCATAGTCTGTTGCATCAAGAAGCAAACAGATCAAAACAGCATTTGAGGTGCACAAATAGGTTAAAGTCAGCTCCAAAATTCCTACAGTGACTCATGTTACAGGTAGGTAGCCATGTTTGTCTGCTGTAGTCGAAACAAAATACAAGAATTTCTTCCAGCAGCACCTTAGAGACACACATGCACACGAAAGCTCATACCAATAACAAACTTAGTTGGTCTCTAAGGTGCTACTGGAAGAAATTCTTTGATTTTGTTTCGACTACGGTGACTCATGTGAAGTTTTGAAAAAAAGTTGTGTAGGACATTTCTTTCTCACTTCCGTTTGAAACTTGCAGCCCAGAATCAAACTGAGATGACACTAGAACTGATGCAGACTGCAAGGTAATGAAGAATCATTAAAGGCAGCTAAGCATCTGTTGCAGGAAAAGAAAATATATCTACCAGTTTTCCTGGCTTCTTGTGCCTCAGGCTGAAGGCATTGGAAGGCTCTTAGTGCCTTGGCTGAAACTGCAACAATCTCAAAACCCAAAATCCTGCAATGCAATGATTGTGTTTTAGCAATAAAAATAAGCTCCAAAGCCAAAAAGCTTGAGCTGAGCTTCTGAATCTCAGGTTTGATTTAATAAAATGCACATTTCTATCCCTATTGTTTGAAAATGTGCTGATGTCTCAGAAATCAAAGTAAATCAGCATATTAATCACATGGTAGTGTTTATATCCCCTTGCAATGCTAAAATTATAGTAAATAAAAGAAACATGCAAATTTGATTGATCTGCAGGATTTAGAACAATTACAGAATTCAGCTGCTTTTGGTGAAGAATTCTGATTGCCTGAGTACAGAATTACTTTTCAGTTAGCCTTAATTATGAGAATAAGCAATTGCGTTTTCAGCAGAAGTGACAGATTTAGTTTGCTTCAGTGGGGCTTGTACTCTTCTGTTCAATGTACTCAACACAAGGTCTGTACATGTTATGAAAATGTTTCCTGTTGCCATTAGCTATGCTGGAGGGTGGAGGGAGCAGTTGGACAAGGCCCTGAATGCCTGCACTGTGACTACTAGAAATTTTGGGACAGACAGATGAAGAAAATACTAGAGAATGTTTTCAGCTATATGGGATCATTGTCTTACCTGAAAGAAATTTCTCTAGGCATGTAAATATAGTCTCAGTTGAGATGTGAGCTGCCCCATGTGTTTTATGGCATAAACACAAATTGTTCAAAAGCAGTTAAATTGTCTCTTTCCCTCTGTGGCACTAGTTTTTGTTCATGACAAAGCTTAAGAGCGGGAATGTTACACAAAAGAAACAAAAACACAGACAAGCATTCAACTGCACAAATGCCATTGTTCCCATGACAAACTCACACCCCAGTAGGGCACTGTAAAATATAGAGTGCAGCCCAGAGACCATCACTACATACACAGATATTTTTTTCAGTAAAGACCAGCAGTCCCTTCCTCTGTGCATGTAAGATGGTCTCAGATGGAGTGTCCAAAAGTGTGCCCATGTAGGGAAGGCTTTAGCTGCCTATTGGTCTAGGAGTCCGTGCTGCAGCACTTTTCTCCCTAAAGCTGCCTCAGCCAAGGCATATAAATCCATTTTGTAAATGTGTAGCAACCTCCTGAAGAGGTCTGCTCATTTGGCCCCTGCCCCAGTAGCTGAGTGTGCAGTAATTTTAGATGGTGGCATCAAGTGCAACACATTATATGGCATATTATTCAGACCCTAACTCACTAAGACCAAGTGGAATTTGAAACTCTCTTTCCTAATCCAAATAATGACTGTCTAAATGGCTTTGTACATGCAATGTGAATCTTCAAAGATCTTCTCACATCCAGAGAATGCCATGCCTTCTCTGTAGGATGTTCAGGTGAAGGACAAAAAGTTGGAAGATTGAGCTCTTACTGTCCGTGAAAATGTGTATTGATTTTCAGACTAAAAGAAGAATCAGTCTGTAATACTACTTGGTCTGATACAGTACATAAAGGTGTTTGGCTACCGATAGCATATTCAGTTGAGAAACTTGCCTTGCTGAAGTAACAGTGTTAAGAAATACAACCTTAATTGGTAACAAACGTAGAGACTGATTTAAAATGTTTAAATGCTGGTCATTGCAGAGTCTTTAGCTCTGTATGCAATTCCACCTGGGGTACGGGTGGATTTATTATTGCAGCCTCTTTAAGTAACTAAGGAAAGGAAGAGCACCTAAAGAAAGCTCCTGAATGTCAGACAAGACAGACCACGATGCTGATGACAATCTTCACAATGTGTTGGGGTGTAAGTCCTTTGCGGGGGGGGGGGCAGAAAATCTCTAATGCTAGCCCTATCCAGCTGCACTCGATTCTGCTTGCACCAGTGCAGAAATGCTGACGATGCTGAACGATAAACACAAATTGGAGAAGGATATCTTGAGGCTAGAATAAGGTAAAGGTAAAGGTACCCCTGCCCGTACCGGCCAGTCTTGACAGACTCTAGGGTTGTGCGCTCATCTCACTCTAGAGGCCGGGAGCCAGTGCTGTCCGAAGACACTTCCAGGTCACGTGGCCAGCGTGACGAAGCTGCTCTGGTGAGCCAGCACCAGCGCAGCACACGGAAATGCCGTTTACCTTCCCGCTATAAAGCGGTACCTATTTATCTACTTGCACTTAAGGGTGCTTTCGAACTGCTAGGTGGGCAGGAGCTGGGACCGAACGACGGGAGCTCACCCCGCCATGGGGATTCGAACCGCCGACCATGCGATCGGCAAGTCCTAGGCGCTGAGGTTTTACCCACAGCGGCACCCGCGTCCCGCGTGAGGCTAGAATGGTGTTCACCAAATCTGAAGGCAGGCACTTAGAATCATAGAATCATAGAATCATAGAGTTGGAAGAGACCACAAGGGCCATCGAGTCCAACCCCCTGCCAAGCAGGAAACACCATCAGAGCACTCCTGACATATGGTTGTCAAGCCTCTGCTTAAAGACCTCCAAAGAAGGAGACTCCACCACACTCCTTGGCAGCAAATTCCACTGTCGAACAGCTCTTACTGTCAGGAAGTTCTTCCTAATGTTTAGGTGGAATCTTCTTTCTTGTAGTTTGGATCCATTGCTCCGTGTCCGCTTCTCTGGAGCAGCAGAAAACAACCTTTCTCCCTCCTCTATGTGACATCCTTTTATATATTTGAACATGGCTATCATTTCACCCCTTAACCTCCTCTTCTCCAGGCTAAACATGCCCAGCTCCCTTAGCCGTTCCTCATAAGGCATCGTTTCCAGGCCTTTGACCATTTTGGTTGCCCTCCTCTGGACACGTTCCAGTTTGTCAGTGTCCTTCTTGAACTGTGGTGCCCAGAACTGGACACAGTACTCCAGGTGAGGTCTGACCAGAGCAGAATACAGTGGCACTATTACTTCCCTTGATCTAGATGCTATACTCCTATTGATGCAGCCCAGAATTGCATTGGCTTTTTTAGCTGCCGCGTCACACTGTTGGCTCATGTCAAGTTTGTGGTCAACCAAGACTCCTAGATCCTTTTCACATGTACTGCTCTCAAGCCAGGTGTCACCCATCTTGTATTTGTGCCTCTCATTTTTTTTGCCCAAGTGCAATACTTTACATTTCTCCCTGTTAAAATTCATCTTGTTTGTTTTGGCCCAGTTCTCTAATCTGTCAAGGTCGTTTTGAAGTGTGATCCTGTCCTCTGGGGTGTTAGCCACCCCTCCCAGTTTGGTGTCATCTGCAAATTTGATCAGGATGCCCTTGAGTCCATCATCCAAGTCGTTGATAAAGATGTTGAATAAGACCGGGCCCAAGACAGAACCCTGTGGCACCCCACTAGTCACTCTTCTCCAGGATGAATAGGAACCATTGATGAGCACCCTTTGGGTTCGGTCAGTCAGCCAGTTACAAATCCACTGAGTGGTAGCATAGCCAAGTCCGCATTTTACCAGCTTCTTTACAAGAATATCATGGGGCACCTTATCAAATGCCTTGCTGAAATCAAGGTAGGCTACATCCACTGCGTTCCCTTCATCTACCAGGCTTGTAATTCTGTCAAAAAACGAGATCAGGTTAGTCTGACATGACTTATTTTTTATAAATCCTTGTGTTCACTTGGTCAGGTTCAACCACAAAAGGTGTTGAGGAAGCAATGGCCCTTGTGACAGAGCGTTGCATCTTCCTGGAAGATGCCAGGTGGTCACAGCCAGTGGAACAACCTCTGAGAAACAAGGTCTCCTTCGCCAATTCCCTTTGAATAACTGTCTGACATTGCCTTCTCAGCAGCTCATCCTCTGACAAAGCCTCATCAAGGATTGTGAAAACTGCTGTGCCCTCTCAATGCCACAACTGGACAAGGATTGAGACTGGGGCTTCTGCAGGGGCTTCCCTGCCATTACTTCTCTGCCTTTACACACTGACTGCTCCCACAAAAGGCAGTGGCAGCTGACCTGGGGTGAGCTAGCTAAGCCCTGATAAATTCACAAACAGTGGCTACTGCCTACCTAGGAAGCACCAGAACTGCAGCTGCTGCCGACATGAAGCCTTTCATGCTCGGTCCCCTCAGGGATCCACATAATGGCAGCAGTTAAATTAGGTGTTATGCTTGCTGCCACAGATGCTTCCAGGTCTCTTGTGTGCTGGTGCTTCCTTATTAACTTCCATGCTGCTACTGCAGGTGCTGACAGTCTCTAATTATTTCCCCCCAAGGCAGAAAAGGTATGGGGGCAAAAATAACCGCAACATGGGAGACAGGATTGTAGGGAGACAGACTGTTAGAAAACCAGGAAGAACTGAACAGACACAAAATGGTGGGGTGGGTTTTTGTTTTTTGTATTTAAGCAGCACATGGGGAGGAAAATGGGCTGGGCCTAAACTTAAACAGAACATGTGCAGAAGGCGGCAACCAAGATGATCAAAGGTCTGGAAACCAAGCCTTCTGAGGAGTGGTCGAAGGAGCTGGGTATGTTTAGCATGGAAAAGAAGAGACTGAGAAGAGATATGAGAGCCATCTTCAAATATCTCAAGGGCTGCCACATGGAAGATGGAGCAAGCTTGTTTTCTCCTGCTCAAGAGGAGCAATGGCTTCAAGTTACAAGAAAGGAGATTCCATCAAGAAGAACTTTCTAACAGTAAGAGCTGTTTGACAGTGGAACATACTCCCTCAGGAGGTTGCAGACTCTCCTTCCATGGAGATTTTTATGCAGAGGTTAGGATGGCCATCTGACATGGACACTTTAGCAGATATTCCTGCATTGCAGGAGGTTGGACTTGATGACACTCGGGTCCCTGCCAACACAATTCTATGAAAAAGGTAAAAAACAGACTGTTATAGAAGAGTGGCAGATGAAAATGATGGACTTTGCGGAACTGGTGAAGCTGACGGGGAAATCCAAAACTAGCATGACCAAGTATTCCAAAAAGACTGGAGTAAATTTACACAATATTTGAAAGATCATTGTATGCAATTAACAACATTAGTAGGGTTATCTGAAGACTTGCAATAAGAAATTTTTTACCCTTCTACTTTTATTTAAACTTTGAGGTATTTTGTAATGAGTTATATTAGAATTGGAAAATATATAAAATGCTGTGATATGAAGGTTACTTTTGAAAGCCAAGAGGTGGGAGGGAAGGAAGTCTATAGCCTAGACAACCAAAGAAGTTAAGTGGATAATAATGATGTGACTATATATTTTTAAATGGAAAATAAAAATATTTTTTAAAAAACGGACTGTTAAATCACACACACAAACAGTTCACACTGAGTGAGCCCAACACACACCAGGGGAAAACTATTTCCTTAATAGGCAAGTCACACATACTTCAAGGGCCCCACCATAAACTCCTCAACACCACAATCACAGCAGGCAATGCCAACAAGTAAGAGAAAAGAGGAGCTTCAGAGTCAGCAAAAAAGACACGAGGGACTGGCTTCAGCAGTGGCTTGAGTCAGGCAAGAATTAAAACTGGCGCTTCAGAGGGAGAGAAACTGTTTAACTGCCTTTAAGCAAGTCAGTGTTTGCACCATCAAGCACTAGGCACTAGGCTGAGTTCATGCCCCACCTGAGACCATCTTGCTTGCACGGGAGAATGTCCCCATCCCTCTACAGAGGGATGTGATTTTCATTAGCCTGCTTTGATATTACTTTTGATCCACCTTGAAAAGATCCATATCCTGAAATGCAGAATGTGACTATAGTAAATAAATTATGCAATCCCTCTGCTTCCCACATTCTAAAATTGCCCTCACTTTAAAAGCAGTGTACCAGAACAGTAAGGGTTAGAAATTTGGATGATTTGAGTTTCTGTCCCCCTTAAGAGGAAGCAGAGTTTTACACCCAAAACTACTGCACTTTTGCAGTGCTTCCACTGAAATCTACCATTGGGCACAGCCATGTCTTTAATTATGACCCTGCCATTTCTGGCCCTCCAATTCTACGATGCTCACTGATCATTTCGGAAATCCAGCATTCGCAGGTGATGCAGGGTGGAAGTGATGTCTTGAGGGCAGATGCCGGTCAGCTTGCTTAGCTTCTTGATGCTGAGTTGCTTGTCATTTTGGTGATAAAGGCACTCCAAGATTACGCTTTTCCAATAAGCCATGTAAGAGAGACGACCCAAATCTGATAGCGGCTTCTCTGGGGATCCTGCTTGGCCTTCACGCTTTGATAGGAGATAACCTGAGAGAAAGCAGAAAACACTTAGGACTGGGCTCTGTACGGAAGCTAGCCTACCCCTGTTTGGGTATCTGCTCCTTATTCAGCTATAGGGTCAGGCACTCTGACTGGAATTTAAGTCAACAAAAACAGCCAATGGCTCTCACAGGACCTGGAAGCTCTTCTCTCCAGAGGTCACCAGCATTTCCCGCCCCCTTCCAGACAGAGGTAGCTGCCTGTACAAGGAGATACATAATTCTAATCTGTGCTGAAGGCATTTTGAATTTTTCAGAAACATGGACAGAAATGTAGAACACCCTCCAATTAAGACCTTTGATTTCGGAAAAGGTCAACCAACCCCCCCCCCCCAGCCACCAAGAAGTGTTTCAGCACCAATTCCCATGGGATCATGGAAGCAAAGGCTGGTAAATCAGTGGGAAAGGTCTTGCAGGCTACAATATGTCTGACTGTAATTGGATATAAACAGTGCCACTAGGTGGCAGATTTTTTTCTGTTACAGTGAAAAAAGTGAAACTTGCAAAAAAATATTGCAGAGCAGAGCTCCTCCTGTTCAGGGTTGTGGTCAACAAATCATGGCCTTTTCCCCCTGACCCCCCCCCCCCCCGGCCACAGTTGCCACTAAGCCTTCTCATTCTTCACACAGTTGTTTGGGGAATTTCCCCCCTTCCTTTTGTTCCCCACCCTCTATTGATTGTTTGCCTTTCTGCAAACCTTAAGGTTTCCTCCCTCTTCCTAAAGCATACCTCTCTCTTGTTTTTTAGCAGCTCCATTTTGGCCATCATCCCGTTGGCACTTGCCAGCTGAGCTTGCTAGGAGAGGCAAGAACAGATAGGTGGGGCCTCCAAACGGCCACAACCAATGACATGACCAAACCACTTTAGACCATCCTAATGAAGCAGTTGCTAATAGAGGATGTGCGTGAACTCTATCATGGTTAATTAGGGAAATTAGATGTTCCAAGAATTATTTCAAACATAAATGGCACCTTGTATTATTAGGTGCCCAAATAATGGGCATTGTAACTCTGAACAGGGGAACACATTATGTATTACTGGAAATTAAGAGCAATTTTACAGGACTAGAAATGTAGATTCTGTATAGGTATGCTCAAAACAACAACGTATACCTCTGTGGACAGGGAATCCAAACATATTTTGATCCCATTTTCTGGCAAACTCCCTCTAGGTCAACACAAGATGGTTTTGGAACTGGAAATCCAGGCACTTCTTTATCTCAAATGCTTAATTTATCCAGAGTATTTTGGTCAAATTATGTTTTCTTGGCCCTCTTACTATTTTTAGTACTTCCCACAGTACTTCTCTCTTTCACTCCTGCTGTGTGAACACAGGGCTGACTCTGTCGATTCACTCATCCTTGCTAGATCCAGAATACAACTATTAACTGACTCACTTTTTAATCAGACATGTTATTTTTACCTTTGCTACCTCTACATATGCCTTCATCTCCTTCTCTTCCCTTACTTTCCAGAGAATGATCCAAAAGCCACTGATGTGAGCGACTTTATAGCAGATCTCATGTGGACCCTAGTCCACAAAAGTATATGCCAAAATGTATTTGTAATGCATTTATCATGCCACAAGGCTGCTGTCATGTAACAGGGTGATCTAGCCAAGCCTTCTGGTTTGAAGCAAGTTGTCTAACAGATACTCGTGAAATATATAGGTGATATGAAGCTTCTGTCGGCCATGGGAAACCCATTCAGTTCACACTCCCTATGACTTGTCCTCATCAGCAGGCAAGTTTCAGGGTTACATTCTAGCTGCTACTTTCAAAAACAGGCCTGGAGGATCCTCCTGCTCCTGTTCTACAGGTGTTGCTGGACTACAACGACATTTTTTGGCCCCTGGCCATGTGGCTGATGGGAATGTCAGCCCAGAGACATCTGGAGAGACACAGGGTTTCTCTGTAGGTGATCCCAAGGATACTACATTACGTTAGTCAAGCTTTGAAGTTATGAAGTCCAAGGGCTGCCACAAGATACCACTGTGAGGACTAAAAGGCAGGTGCAACTTGATTTTCCAGGTGCAGAATTCACCAAAGATGCTCTTCCGCCCAGGTAGCAGGGCTCACCATTCACCTGTCTGTTTAAAAATTCTGTTTGAATCAACTCCCTCCACTCTTCATTTGTAAGTTCAAATACAAAACCAACCAACCTTCATAATCCGCTGACTTTTCACAAACCTTCAACTTGCACATCAGTCTCAGCAATGTGATAGTAAAGCAAATGAAGGAGCTACTGTCTCAAGCTACTGTCTCAAGCAGTTATGTAAACTAAGCATTAAAGCAGACTCTACATGGGCAAACTTTTGCATTAAAAGAATGCTAATGAAAGGGTTTTGCTGCTGGAAGTTCTTTAGCAGGGATGGGGAACCTATGGCTCTGCAGATGACCTCTGACTCCCATCAGCCCCAGTCAGCATGACCAATGGTCAGAGCCAGAGGTCCCCTCGTCCAGTTCTACAGTACATGTGTTTTTCCTGACGATGAGTGAGTGAGCATCAGCATTCCTATAAGAGTGAATAATGTGGGCCTCACTCCTCCCCAAATGGGAAGGTGCCCATCAGAAGTGATGGTCAGTGATAAAAATAGAATATAAAAGATAGAAGGACTTGGCGAAAGGTAGTTAGCTTAGCTTTGGAACTGGCTCTTTGCTTTCCCTCCAGGAAGCAACGTGGCTGTATTCCCTTTGCGTTTGATGCCACTGCCATTTGAGTCCTCCAGAAAACGCACCTTGCTGCTTTGTTTTCCTTTATGCGACGGTCCTATAAGCTTTAAGGATATATATGCCTTTGTTCCTTTGTAATATTAATATTTTTCTTGAATATTTAGTACAAAACTAATTTGAACAGAAAAATGGAAATTCTATATTTAATGCCTACATTTCCACAAATTATAGAACTCAAATTAGCCATGTATACTGAGATACGTTCATTTTTCAGACATTTATAATGGGAAATTAAACAGCAGCAGCTGCACAGATATGTCATAACCACCAGTAAAGGTAAAGGTAAAGGTAAAGGGACCCCTGACAATTAAGTCCAGTCGCGAAGGACTCTGGGGTTGCGGCGCTCATCTCACTTTACTGGCCGAGGGAGCTGGTGTTTGTCCACAGACAGCTTCCGGGTCATGTGGCCAGCATGACTAAACCGCTTCTGGCGAACTAGAGCAGCGCACAGAAATGACGTTTACCTTCCCACAGGAGCGGTACCTATTTATCTACTTGCACTTCGTGCTTACGAACTGCTAGGTGGGCAGGAGCAGGGACCAAGCAACGGGAGCTCACCCCGTCAAAGGGATTCGAAACTGCCAACCTTCCGATCGGCAAGCCCAAGGCTCAGTGGTTTACACCACAGCATCAGTAGTGCCAGCTAAAAATGTTTTGCTGTCTGCAGTAAAAGGCAAGATGGTGCCCACTTCCACTGAACACACAGAAGCCAGCCTGACTGGCAACTTAAACTTATTTCCGCACCTAGCAACAGCACAGCAACCTCTACCACATCAGAAAGCTTTGGGGTGCAAGGCAGGCTTTGAGGCGCACACAGCTCCCTCCTCTAATAGGGCCAAGTGGTCAGGGGGCTCAGAAGAAATGGGTGCCCTCACCAGACCCAGCACCTGCTGCTTGAGGCAGCTGCCTTGTTCAGGGCTGGCCCTGATGGTCCGCTTTACTCTCTTCTGAAAGAAGAAACCCATCGACTGATGTAGTAGATTTGCAAACTGGTCACTTTCCCTAATCAGGTTGTATTTCAGCCAAAACGCATAATAAATTTATGCTACTGTTTGTCAATAAATTCACACAAATATATGGTCAAATAAATAAGAAGTGGGTCTTCAAATGCTACAGGTGAGTCCCAGGAGTGAAAAGGGTAAAGACTACTGGTAAATGATTTGATGTGTTTGTTAGCCACTTTGCACGATGTAGTGGAAAAGACAGGATATAAATAGCCTTTTAAACATACAAATAAAATTTCTGCCTCTCCACATGGCTAGGAAAGCAGGGAAGAAGAGCAAGTTCTGAAGTGCCATCTTAGATGTCCTTGTGGGCTGAAGTGTGATGGGGGGGGGGGGCTTGTGTGCAAGCATCTGGGGTGCAAGAAAGCAGTTGGGAAAAGGATGCTGGCCAGAATCCCAAAAAGTAGGCATTTCAGATAATTAATGCTCTTGAAATAAAGTGCTGGGGAATTGCATGGTTTCATAAACTTTAACCTGAAGCTGAAGAGAAAGGCAGAAAAATGAGAATATGCTTACTGAAATCAATGAGGAACCTGCCATAGCCCTTGCGCTGGTACTGGGGAAGAATCATTATGCAGGAAACATTGTATTTCTGCTGGCAGTGCTTCTCCTAGTAAGAGAGACACACACACACACACAAACACAGAAGATTAGCAAGATGGAAAAGAACTTCTTCTCGATGAGGAATTAATTGGGGTAAATCACAATCACCCCAAAAGCAAGTCTCCAAGGAAAGAACACAAGGCATTATCAAGCCACTGAACCTCTGCGATCACAGCCAGGAAGGAAAAGGAAGAAAGAACTGTCACTGAGCACACAAAGTTTCTTTCTGTAAACCTGTATCATTCATGTACCTAGTGCAGTAATATCTACCACTCCAAGTGACAGTGGTTCTCCGGGGTCTCAGTCACATAAGCCCTCCCAGTCCTGCTACCTGTGATCCTTTTTAGTTAAAGATGCTCAAGAATGAACCTGCACCACTACCAGAATTATGGCCCCTCCCCTGTAATACATCATTTCAGGACCTTGTACTTACAGCAAACTTCTCTCCCTACTTCTCTACAAAGGGCTTTTCAAATCCTCAGAGATTTCCAAAGCAATAAAGAACCTTTGTGGGGGGTGGGGGTAAGACAAAATAAAAGTCCATCTGCAGGTGGGCTTGTGGGGGGGGGTAGGATGGCCATAGATTAAGGCTACATTATTTCCTTTTCTGAAAGTGTTGAAGTAAAAAACAACTTCTTTTTTGGGGGGGGTGTTAAGACGGGCCTTTCAAAGTAACTCTCTGTCCCTGTGTGAGGAATACTAAAGCCACATTCAGCCTCCATGGTCTCTTTCCCAAAATGCAAACAAAAGATCTGAAATGAGATCAGCATCTGATTTGGGAAGCAAGCTCATTGGAGGTAACAATTAATGTTTACTTCACCAACTAACTCTCCTCCTCACCACCCAAGGGACTAAGAAGTCATTTAAAACCCTCTCCCCTCAGAGCTGCCAGGCTGGAATTCATGCTCCTTAGAGAATACACTCTGTTCAACAGCATAAAAAAGAAAGCTGCTTTGATTAACTGCTTCAATTCATAGAATCATAGAGTTGGAATAGACCACAAGGGCCATCGAGTCCAACCCCCTGCCAAGGAGGAAACACCATCAGAGCACTCCTGACATATGGTTGTCAAGCCTCTGCTTAAAGACCTCCAAAGAAGGAGACTCCACCACACTCCTTGGCAGCAAATTCCACTGTCGAATTCCCTGGATTCTGCTTATGCAGAACTTTAAAGGCTGTTTGGAACCCATAAAATTATACCCATCACTTCAGAAGTGTGACTGGACACTAGTTTGGTTAGATCCACTACACTAAGGAGGGAGAAAATTTAGATCTGCTGAAAAATGACTTTCAGTTTACGCACAATTCAAATCCAATTATATTTTCTTGGATACGAGTCATACCAGTGTGAATAGACTTTTCCAGAGGTATAGCCAGTCTTATCACACACAAGACTTGACAGGAAGAAGAAAAGAAAGTTTATAGTCTTTTTGCACACACTAGGTATTTGGCCATAGTCAGGGTTGTGTGTATGAAGCAAATCCACACAAGCACAAAAAAGTGTGGAATGCAATTTTGGGTGCAGAATTCAGTTTACTGAGAGTTTCAGTCTCAAAAAGACATTCCCAGCCTTTTTTCTTTTAAGTGCAAGCATAGGCATGGGAAAGTGTATGGCCAAAGCTCCTGCACATGTCAGCAGGAAAAGTTCCAGGAGTTAAGCAAGGGCCTGTAGTGCCTTGTGCCTCTCCTCGTGATTAGCAAAAACAGAGCAATCAATTAAGCAAAAGCTTAAGAATCCAGCTTTTCACCACCCAATATTTGGATTAACTTGGTGCAGATTTTTTTAAAAGTGCATGATAGATATGCTCCTGGTTTATAGTTCCCTTAGGTATTGTCAGGACACCAACAGAACACCAACAAGTGGAAATCCCCCCACCGCTCACCTTGGAGAAATAGCCAACCAGGTGGCAACCCTTCATGTCATTTTGCGTCAGCACATAGAAGAGAAATGGCTCCACATCATAATAGAGCGTCTTGTGATCCAGGAAGAGTTTTGCTAATAGACACAGGTTCTGGCAGTAAATGGTACTGACGTTGCCATCCACCTTAGAAAAATGGAGAACAGGTCAAGACACTATCCCTCATGAACTGCTAGCAGGCCACAACACAAAGTGATCTGCTTAAATCAAGTAGGATTATACCAAACAGAAACAAACCATCTAAGGACTTGTAGCTTCAAGAACTAAAGGATGCAGCCTGAGGTAAGTAGTCACTTTGAGGAGAAGCCCAAAGCGGCCAGCGCTCCTCACACTACCAACCTTTTCCTAAGAGGGATGTACAACATAAAATGCCAATACACTTCTGTTTTGCAGCCAATCATTACTGAATGGAATGAAAAAAAATTCCTTCCAGTAGCACCTTAAAGACCAACTAAGTTAGTTCTTGGTATGAGCTTTCGTGTGCATGCACACTTCTTCAGATACACTGAAACAGAAGTTGCCAGATCCTTCTATATATGCATGCACACGAAAGCTCATACCAAGAACTAACTTAGTTGGTCTTTAAGGTGCTACTGGAAGGAATTTTGTTTTGTTTTGACTATGGCAGACCAACACAGCTACCCATCTGTAACTGAATGGAATGAGACACTCATGAAATATTACAAAAGTAAGACAGTTCTGGGTTGTTGTTTTTTAAAAACTGGACTGCCCTCAGCCTCCCAAAGAGGGGATTCTAGCCATGATTAGAGCCCATTACAAGGGAATTAGGTTCCTACAACAGTTCTTCTCTGGGAAGCTCACAGCAGGTTATGCCCCAGAGATTCAGGCAGGGACATAAACAGCAGCTAATAATCTTTGACACTTACCTCAAAGACTGAAACATTGCTCTTCCTGTAAATTTCATTGGCTGGGGGATGAAACCAGCCACACTTCTTCATGTGTTGCTGAAGGATAGTTCTGCTTTTCATATACTTAAGACAGAATTCACAAATGTACAGCTTAGGCAGCCTGCAAGATTAAAGGCATGGATGCATTGAGCAGTTTTGCAAGGTTACAACTTGAGGCAATCAGTACTGTTATCTCTACTGTGGCAATTCCCATAAAGGTCCATTGTCTTAAAGCTGGGTATACAGGAGGCAATATAGAAACAAAAAAAGCATAAGAGCAGGTTAAAATGTGTATTTGGTTGGATTCAGTTACTGAGACTGAGGGTCTTAACAAAGACCTCTTAGGATTACTTCTAGCCCAAAGTTTACCAAGGGTGTCCATCACTGGATATGAAGGGACCCCGTAGGCCCCTTTCCAGTACTGTCCCTCCACCCCTTAATTTATGCAACTGGCAACTGGAACATACATAGGAAGCTGCCTATTATCAAGTCAGACCTATTGGCCCATCTAGCTCAGTATTACTTCCACAGGGGCCTTCCTGAATCTACCTGGAGATGCTGGTGATGAAACCTGGAACCTCCTGTATGCAAAGCAGATGCTGTACCACTGAGCTATGACCCTCCCCATCATACAAATTTCAATAAAATAGAAATTCCGCTCTTCTGTTTCTTTGCTGCACGGCACAGAAAATAAAGAACACTTACATCTACAAAATGTTTAATAAAACAAAGTCTTTCAGTATGTTAATCCCAAAGATAGGAGGAAGCTCAGCTCTGATTATTCCGAATACTTCTTTCAGTTATCACTAAATATTGTCTGGTTTTCCTTGGTTATAAGTAGAGCAGATATGTACCTATACTGTATGTGAAGATGATCAGAGAAACGAGGAACCCAACACAATTTGACATGCTGACATTTCTGTGCTTGTGTTTGTTTAAAAACAAGTTGCCAACTCTCACAGTTGCAAATGCAATGCCTTTACTTCAAGAAGAAAATCAGTGGCAGAAGGATCTGAGGGGGGAATCCTGTGTCTCCAATCCTTGCTACTATTTTTGCACACCAGCCACTACACTCAAATTTCCATGCTCTTTGCTCTTTCCTCCCCCCCCCCCGCCACAGTGCTTACTAAAATATATTAATTCTTTGATAGCTTCAACCTTAAAAAAAATGCTACACAAGCAAATACCTATATATATAATATATACATTGCATGATTTAACTTGGTTACACATTTGGTTTGTTCAGAGGACATCCAGTCCTAATTTTAAGGAAGAGCATGTCTTTACAGTATGAGCTTGTCAGGCTTAACACATAGTTACACTTTATTTCCTACTCTTGCTAAACATTCAGCTGCATAACGTAAACTGTATAATAGAGAGGAGGCCTGTGTTGTACCTGGAATACTCTTGTGGGTATGGAGAGGAATACCAGGTGTGGATTTCATATTTCCCAAACTCGATGACTGATGGACAGCGGACTTGTGGATCAGGGGCTCCTGTTACTCCTACTTTCTGTAAAAGAAACAAATATCTCTACAAGTTAACAACAACAAAAGCACTACTTAACAGATCCAGAAATCCAGGAAAGAAGGAAAAGCTTTGGAATAGCACAGTTTTCTTCCACTGAACTACAGTGGTACCTCGGGGTTAAGAACTTAATTCGCTCTGGAGGTCCATTCTTAACCTGAAACTGTTCTGAACCTGAAGTACCACTTTAGCTAATGAGGCCTCCTGCTGCTGCCGTAGCATGATTTCTATTCTCATCCTGAAGCAAAGTTCTTAACCCGAGGTACTATTTCTGGGTTAGCGGCGTCTGTAACCTGAAGCGTATGTAACCCGAGGTACCACTGTAATTCACAAAGCAAAAAATATAAAGCCAGGTGTGCTAGTAAAAATGCTAGTCCAATCCGTCTTAGCATTATGCTTGCCTGTTAAGAGTAATCTAAAGGAATTACCATATTTTTCACTCTATAGGACGCACCCGGCCATAGGAAGCACCTTGTTTTAGAGGGGGAGAACAAGGGAAAAAATTCTCCCCCTCTCTGCTCAGTGTGCCTTCAGCGAAGCGGCAGGAGAAACGGAGCCCCTTCCATTTCTCCTGCCGCTTCGCTGAAGGGGCGCTGCGCAGAGAGGGGGAGAATTTTTTTTCTTGTTCTCCCCCTCTAAAACAAGGTGCGTTCTGCGCATTCAAGGTGCGTTCGCCTGAAGCCTCCGGAGCGCAGCAGACATTCCCGCTGCGCTCCAAAGGCTTCAGGCGGCTACCTTGGAAGCCTGGAGAGCGAGAGGGGTCGCTGCGCACTGCCCCTCTCGCTCTCCAGGCTTCAGTGAAGGCAACCCGAAGCCTCAGGAGCGCGGCGGGAGTTCCCGCTGGGCTCCGGAGGCTTTGGGTTCCTTTCAACCTGGTCTTTGGGGCTGGCGGGGGGAAGCGCTGCTTTCCCCCACCGCAAGCCTCAAAGACCAAGTCAGGGAGCAGCGCAAAGGCTGCATGCAGCCTTCCCGCTGCCCCCCAGCTTGTGGGGCTGGCAGTGGGGTGAAGCACTGCTTTCCCCCACCGCCAGCCTCAAAGATTCCGGAAGCCTTTGGAGCGCAGACTCTCCTGGCTTCAGCGAAAGGAACCTGAAGCCTCCGGAACACAGAGAGAATTCGCGCTGTGCTCCCAAGGCTTCAGGCGGCTATCCCTGAAGCCTGGAGAGCAAGAGGGGTTAGTGCGCACCGATGCCTCTCGCTCTCCAGGCTTCAGCGAAAGCAATGCGAAGCCTCTGGAGCACGGAGGGAGCGCTCCCTCTGCGTGTCGGAGGCTTCGCGTTGCTATCGCTGAAGCCAAGGAGCCTGCATTCACTCCATAGGACGCACACACATTTCCCCTTAGTTTTTGGAGGGGGGAAAGTGCGTCCTATAGAGCGAAAAATACGGTAATAGCCACTTAATAAATCCAAGGAAATAAGTGACTCCTGAAAAAGCAAAAGGGAGGGAAGGAAGCAGGGGCAGGCAGGCATGTATCCCAAGTGCACCTGTAATAGACAGCACAGAACCTGGTTAGGAACTGCAACAAAAGGCAATGGGTGACCTACAAACCTACAAACAGGGTTTTGTTTTGTGTAAGTTTTCAAAACTCAAGATGCAACACCTCTCTCTCAAGAATATTTACATCAAACCAGAAAAGTGTCACCAAAAGAAATATATAGAAATACCGCAAACTGTATCCTTAAATTTTTCAGAGCACAAGGGGCTTTTTCGTCCCCGCGGCTCTAAAATTATACAAGGCCAAAACGTTGGCACAGCTCCTTTATGGATCCTTTCTGGGCCCACCTTCCTCTGCTTTCTCCCCCCTTGAGAGAGTTCAATCCAAACTCCTTAGAGCTCTCCTACAAGTCCCCAGATGCATTTCAAACGCATGGCTTAGACTAGAAACGGGGATGATGAGAGTGGAGGCTTCTATCTGCCTAACATCAATCTACAAATGGCTGACACTGAACCTGCTCCCCCCGAGGGATAGCCCCACTGATCTTCTGCGACCAATTCCAGTCAGGCTGGCAGACTGCAGTCCTGAACACCCTTCAGAAACTGGGTTTTGCCCCTCAAGCCCTTCTGAGCCTGGGGTTGGGCCAGGCAAAAGCAATGGTTAGGCAAAGAATTATAGACACCGAGAGACAAGAGGAGTGCTCAAGGTGCCCAGACTATAAAATTGGAGAAATCGAGAGAGATATAGCCGCACTGGCAGCATATCTCGTCTTTCTCGTATCTAAAAATGCAAGAAGGGCTTTTACACTCGCCAGAAGCTCGGCTCTGCCCTCGCTAGTCCTGGAAGGAGCCTTTTAAAAAGTCCCATATTCTAAGAGATCTTGCGCCTGTTCACTGGGGGAGATAGGAAGCCCAGAACACTTGTTCTTTAGATGTCTCTCTTATGAAGAGGCACGTAGTAAGACCATTGATGGTGAGGCTCGCTAACCTCACAAAAATTTGACCTTTTTAACCTCGCAAATATTTTAACCTCGCAAAAATCTGACATTTTCCTGTTAGGCAAAGATCAGAAGACGACCTGGATGGTTGCCAGATTCTGTGTACAAGTCTGCAGGCGCAGACCATCTCCCAACTCAAACTAGTTTGTTAAGAAAATCCCCACACCCGGTTTCATGGGTGACTCTGGGTCAACTCCCTGTGGTAGTTTATTGTTGTACATTGTTTTAATTGTTTGTTTTCCTTCTGTGACTGTACCCCCAAGTGTGTTTTATAAGCTGGTCTCCAACCATAATAAATTATCTATCTATCTAGAAATACCCAGATTATGGGAAGCTATCCAGTGGAAGATGCAATGAAATCAAGTATTTCATGTCCACTTATTTCAATGGGTCTATTTTGTGCACAACATAGTTGGGTATCATTCATTACAAAAAATATGGCAAAAGTGTTTTTCAAGAAGAATCATGGCCATCAACCCTTAAGGAAATTATATTCCTTTGGGGCAATCTGCACACCTCTGGCCTCCATTGTTATTTTTCATGCATGTATAAGGTAAAATATAGCTTTCCCTTTCTACCCACCCCCTCCCCAGACACATTTTCTTCCTTATATACACTATGAAGAATTGAGGATGCTTTGCAAATTGCATCTACAAGCAAAGGCTCAGGAGTGAATGGAAGAGAGAAAATGCTGGTTAGACTTCCAACACTCTTTTCTCTCAGTTTACATTGTGTATTGAGAAAAATAAACTATACATTAAAAAGACTTGCTTAGTGGTGATATTACTATTATGTCTTGCATCCTAATACACCCGTAAGTTCTGTAGTGTGTGTTCACATTGAGCTCCTAGTGCTGTTTTTAGTGACAGAAGTATTTCAAATCCCAGGACATTTGGAAACATCAAGTTCTAAACAAGTGCTAAAAGCATTTTCTCTACTGTGGAAGGTCCATCTCTTACCTTCCCTCCCTTTGCACACACCCACATTTCTTCAGCACTACGAAGTCAGTGCAGATAGTCCCTCAGTGGGGGCCAGTTAGGTCAGCTTAGCCAACTCAGAAACACTTGCTTAAAGCAATTTCTTTTCCCCTTTGTTTTTCTATAAACTACAGGGCACTTTTCAATGCTCAGATGCAGGAAGTGACATCTGAGTCTCCTCCTTTCTCTCACACACAGCTCAGTTCAAGTGCAATCCCACGCTATACTTAGGTGGTTCAACAAGCCTCACACACCTGCCTCTACCCCTCACTGTAATCCAATTCTTCAATTGGAAAACTATGGACTGTGCTTGCCCTACCAAGCAGGACTTTAACTCAGTCTGCATGCCTGGTTTGGAGGGCAACTAGAGTTAAAGTCTGCTTCTGTTTGGCTGGAACTGCAAGGTAACCCCATGTAGTGCAGCATTGTGGCATTGGAGGGAGGGCAGGAGCACCCAACTACAAGTTTTGCTCATAACACTCCAAAATGAGGTTTGGTGGTGCGAGCACCAGTCCTATAATTATAAAATGGGGTGCCATCAGTTCATAAATATTTATAGCTGTGGCCCCAAAAAACCATGATTTATTCGACTGAGAAAAACCATTGTGCCCATGTGTTTCCACCTCGTTCAGACTGCATTTTCAGACTTTGTTTGTAGTCTAAGATTTAACCAGTTTCCCAGTTTGGAAGTAACAGTAAACAATGGTTTTAACGAACGCTGAAAGTATTTCAGTGCAGTGCAAGAGAAAAAAGAGCATGCAGGTATAACACTCATTCTCAGTCTTATAAACCATAGCATATTTGATTGAAATTTTTTCATCTGTCGGAGAGCCTTGGGGGTAGAATAGAGCAGATAACTTATCCAAATAAATGGCCTCAGTGACCAAAAATGTACCCTTAACACAGACTGCAATGACAGAGAACTTATCCCTGTAACTGTGTAGAAAAGATTTCTAATTTAATTTCACAATATAAAAGTGCTAAACAGGAACTGGTGACCAGCATATGTCTTAAAATAATATTCATACTGATTTACTCTTTACCCAAACTGTGCTAAAAGCACTTTGGAATTCTCTATCATGAGAGATACTGACGGGATTTTTAAAGGACAGCAGTCTCCATCCTGGTCCCTTCCAGATGCTTAGAACTCAAACTCTCTTTATGGTAGTTGTAGTTCAAACATGTGGTGGTGATCAAGATGGGAAGGGCTGGATTAGGATAAGAGCTGGGTCTAAACCACTGAGCCCCTTGGGCTTGCCAATCAGAAGGTCGGCGGTTCAAATCCTCATTATGGGGTGAGCTCCCGTTGCTCAGTCCCTGCTCCTGCCAACCTAGCAGTTCGTAAGCACGTCAAAGTGCAAGTAGATAAATAGGTACCGCTCCGGTGGGAAGCTGAATGGCGTTTCCGTGCGCTGCTCTGGTTCACCAGAAGTGGCTTAGTCATACTGGACACATGACCTGGAAGCTGTCTGCGGACAAATGCCGGCTCCCTTGGACAGTAAAGCGAGATGAGTGCCGCAGCCCAAGTCGTCCACGACTGCACTTAACAGTCAGGGTCCCTTTACCTATGTCTGACTACCAGGAGAAGGCTCCTCCCATGAATAATAGAGACCCCTGGCTGGCCAGTGCTAGAAACAGGATGCTGCACTATGATGGACCTTTGGTACAATTCAACAAGGAAATCCTTCTGTTTTTATACAAAAGTTAAGGTAGAACCATTTTTTCTCCAAAAGTTTGTAGACATTTCTTGTTTTGCCATTTTTCTTCCACCTTTACATTTGAATAATCTCAGAGCAGCAATAAGGAAACAGCTATATTCACCAAATCTCTTTGCTCTTCCCTCATATCTTGCCATGCCAGAAAACAACCTGATGTACCTTTCCACAGCAATACACAAATAAAATCTCTCAGTTACTTAATAGTGTGCACAATAGCAAGTTCAACTGCTCTAAACATCACCTCTTCGCCACTGATTGAGTCCCAGGGCTCTTTCTTCCCCTTTTCTTTTTTAAGGAAAAAAACCTGAGGGATTGGATGGGTTTTCCTAAGGGAAAGGCTGCAACAGCCAATTTACTTTCCCTAAGATACAAAATATCCTCAGTCAAAAGAGAAAAAAGCACACAATAGCCAAATCAAAATCATGTTTGATGCTAGAAACTGTCTTGCAATTGGCTCCACAAATATAATGGGTAGCACAAGTTCAATCACCCAAACTGAAACTCAAGAATTCTACCACCTGATACAAGCCAATTTAAGAACACATCATTCCATGGAAGAATGAGAGACACACAATACAGTATCTATGAAAATCCACAATTCAAAAAACGTAGTTTAGAATTGCTAATCCCAGACAGGACAGCGTTGAAATTACTCAGCTCACAGTCTGTTGCCAACAGAACCACACTGGTTTACATGGAGATGTTTCAAGGATGCTCTCAGACCGCACCTGTGGCACTGCCTTGCATGTTTGTGCCTTCTGGATGGCCACTGAATTCTCCTCCAAATAGATGCCTGAGATAAAGGTGGAGTCCCAGTTCCAGTACAACTGCTTGCACATCATAACAGCTCAAAGTCCCATCAAAGCAGACGTCCAACTCCCACAACGGTGGCACACAGCCACAGACCACTCCCTCCAGCAGACGGTCTCTCTTCAACAACTCAGCCAGCCATCCTTGCACCTCTGCTCAGCGTATTCCGATTTGCTCAGGTGTGGCACCCTGCTCTACCTGGATACGCACTGCGTCAGCAGCTCAGCTGAATTTAACCCAATCCTTGCCAAACTCACACTCACAAGTCTTTGCAAAGTTACGGTATATACAATATCAGCAAGAAAAGAGAACAGTAATATTTATCAGAAGTTGCAAAGAGATGTAGGGCTGCTTAGTAACTCATGAGCAAGTACTCTGGATTTTACACCATGCTATATATGCTAAGCAATTACTTTCAAATATCAGAAGTCTACATTGATCAGAGATTAACTAGTTTGTGCTGTCTGAAAGGCCTGAAGCTGGCTGACCAAAAAAAAACCTATTACAAAAATAATATATTTGCACCAGCCATTCTAATTTGTGCACAGAGTGCACCTATATAAACACAACTAAATATAAAAGCGTCAATTTCAGAGGACATCATTGTGGTCCTTACTTTAATGGCAGAAGCTAAAATATTTGTGGTCTTTGCTGTCACCAGCTTATCTTGGTCGATAAGAGAAGATTCATGTAATAATCAACTAAACCTCCTGGATGAGATAATGATGAGCAGTGTTAGAAACTCAGATATACAAGCCAGGTGCCAAGTGACACCTTAAACCTTGGTTATGGCCACCACAACGGAATGTCTATTCACCAGGGGGTTGGACTAGATGACCCTAAGGATCCCTTCCAACAATTCTACGCTTCTATGATCTCAACTACATTGTTTGACTGTCCCAATATGTAAGAAGGAGAAATGCAGCAGAAATGGAAAAGATGTAAACTATGGACTAAGGCAGAGGTTTTTAAACTGTGGTTTGTGAGTTCCATTTGGGTGGCCTGTGGAGAGGCTGTAGCACCGTCAAATAGATCTGTATTCAGCCCTGCACTTACTTTCCTTGATGGGATGATGGAGGACTAAGGTGCCCAGCAAGGGGTCTATGATTTGCATAGCCGCGCAGAAGCACAAGACTCACAACTTTTACTGCACATGAGTCATCTGGCTCGATTGAGACGTCAATCACCAACCTGGCGCCCAGAAATCTCCCTGTAGTTGCAACTGGACCCTTGCCAATAGCAAACGTGCATGGTGCACAGTGAATTCCGAACACTGGTGATGAGGTGATTACCTCTTTAAGCACATATTTGTAAAAAGAGCATACTAGCAACACATGAGCCTTTGTTTCTGTATTCCCATCAACACATGGATATATATGACCTTGGAATCTTCCTGTTACAGAAATACCAACAAGCTTTCTTTTCAATTTCTTCATCTGCTTACACCAAAGGTTCTGCTGGCTTTTGTATTTGTCTTCTTCCAGGCAGAGGGTCATCAACACCTCCCAAGAAACAGAACCTATAAGCCAGTGTTTCCCAACCTTGGGCCTCCAGCTGTTTTTGAACTACAATTCCCATCATCCCTGACCACTGGTCTTGCTAGCTAGGGATGATGGGAGTTGTAGTCCAAAAACAGCTGGAGGCCCAAGGACATATTGTATCTGTACCAATACAGCCATGAAGGAGCTGAAGGGCCATGCTTAGACAGAGGTCACAAACATGGAATATTGAACAATCTACCATGCCTCTGCATTAAGCCAATGTCCTTTATACAGAACACTGAAAAACAAGCAAACTCCCCTCACAAATGCCAGGCAAGACCTTGCAGAATTCAATGTGCACTAAAACAGGGAGGAAGAAATGTCCAATAGAAATGGAAACGGGAAGGTACAGACTTGCTCTGATTCAGTTTTGAAGCAAGCAAAGCTATTATATAGCTTTGGCATGCAAGTCTTACAATCTTGGACAACCCTCGATCTCCACTTGTCAGCCCCATGTTTCTGGGCTATAATATTTTAAGTTTGCCTCAGAGCTGCCTGCTTATCTCTCATCAGCATCACACCTCATCACTTCTTATCAACTGGCTGGTTCCCAGAAAATCCTCAGTAAACTACCTGTCTCAATCTTCTCAGTACTATGCATCTTATGAGTAATAGTAAAGGTAAAGGTACCCCTGCCCGTACGGGCCAGTCTTGCCAGACACTAGGGTTGCGCGCCCATCTCACTTAAGAGGCCGGGGGCCAGCGCTGTCCGGAAACACTTCCGGGTCACGTGGCTAGCGTGACAAAGCCGCATCTGGCGAGCCAGCGCAGCACACGGAACGCCGTTTACCTTCCCGCCAGTAAGCGGTCCCTATTTATCTACTTGCACCCGGGGGTGCTTTCGAACTGCTAGGTTGGCAGGCGCTGGGACCGAATGACGGGAGCGCACCCCGCCGCAGGGATTCGAACCGCCGACCTTTCGATCGGCAAGCCCTAGGCGCTGAGGCTTTTACCCACAGCGCCACCTGCGTCCCCTTATGACTAATATACCCCTGTAAAAAGGTAAAGGAACCCTGACAGTTAAGTCCAGTCACAAACAACTCTGGGGTTGTGGCAGCATTTGCCCACAGACAGTTTTTCCGGTCATGTGGCCAGCATGACTAAGCCGCTTCTGGCGCAACGGAACACCAAAACCAGAGCAGCACACGGAAACGCCGTTTACCTTCCTGCCGGAGCATTACCTATTATCTACTTGCACTTTGACGTGCTTTCGAACTGCTAGGTGGGCAGGAACTGGGACAAAGCAAAAGGAGCTCACCCTGTCGTGGAGATTTGAACTGCCGACCTTCCGATCGACAAGCCCCAGGCTCAGTGGTTTAGACCACAGCGCCACCCGCACCTCTGTAGGAGTCTACTAACCATACCTCTGCATGCAAGCTTCATTCAATTTTACCTGCAGTGCTTGCTCCTGAATATCTCTGAACAACTCCATATCTTTCTCAGTCATGACATCTGGACCTCCAAGAAGCCATTCTTCATTTTCCTGTTTTCCATCCCAGCCATCCTGATTGTCTGAAAATGAACACACAACGACAAATTGAATTTCCTGAAATTAAGCACCTGAATATGTAAGGTGGTCACAGGATAAATAACTATCTAAAAGGGGTTATTGCACTTATTGCACTAAGAAGTTTTGAAGTTCATGGCAGGCTACCCCTTTAGACTAAACTGTGACATACCAACATAGACCCTTCCACCCCACCACCTGGCAGCTTCAGTTCTTCCAGTGGTATAACCATTCCACTCTCACCCATCAATACTTCTTGGCCTTGGGAGAAGGCATATTCCCCTGGACTGTGGAAATGTGCTCTCAGTCTAAACCAACCTCACATGGCTGTTGTGCCAGGAAAATGGGGAGGAGAACTATATATGCCACCTTGAGCTCCTTGGAGGAAAGGTGCAATGTAAGTCTAATAAAATAAATAAATATTCTGACAATCTTAACAAACACAAAATAATACACACTAACCTCCACTGCTTGGACTGCTGTCCACAAATGAAAATATATATTATGATGATTTTAGCATATACACTTTGCCAAGGTTCTGTGGTGTATTTGAAGATGACCCTTTAATTGTACGTGGTTATATATATATATATATTAGTGATGTATGGAAGTGAGAGCTGGACCATAAAGAAGGCTGATTGCCGAAGAATTGATGCTTTTGAATTATGGTGCTGGAGAAGACTCTTGAGAGTCCCATGGACTGCAAGAAGATCAAACGCATCCATTCTTAAGGAAATCAGCCCTGAGTGCTCCCTGGAAGGACAGATCGTGAAGCTGAGGCTCCAGTACTTTGGCCACCTCATGAGAAGAGAAGACTCCCTGGAGAAGACCCTGATGCTGGGAAAGATGGAGGGCACAAGGAGAAGGGGGCGACAGAGGACGAGATGGTTGGATAGTGTTTTCGAGGTTACCAGCATGAGTTTGACCAAACTGCGGGAGGTAGTGGAGGACAGAGGTGCCTGGCGTGCTCTGGTCCATGGGGTCACGAAGAGTCGGACACGACTAAACGACTAAACAACAACAATATATATATATATATATATATATATATATATATATATATATATATTCTACTACTTCCACCCAAGTACCTTCAACAGAATGTATTGTGCCCCAACAACATTTATGATAATGTAAAAAAAACCAAAGTGTTGAAGTTTCTTCAGAATCTGTTCTCAAATTGAAAATTAGAAGTCCAGAAAGTAAGAAGAGATAATACCCTCTACAATTAGCTACCTGTAGGCCAGTCTGAAGTGCTTGATTTCCTATTGTCTTTTCTCCTGATCCTATACTGCTGAGAGTAATCCACCACTTCTCCTCGAGCTTTACGCCCATCAGGGGATGGGGTGAAGAATTTGGTAAGGCCATCAATGAGCCCTTTGGTTTTCTTGTTGAATTTCAAGGTGGTGCTTGCATCTCTGCAGAATTCCAGGCCGTCGATTTGCTCCAAATAGCCCCCTTCTGACGAACAAGTTGACTGGCTGGATAGGGGAGTCTTGCGCTTACGACCTCGGCCAGGTCCCGTCTGAACTTTGCTGAAGGGGGCTTTTGATCTAAACAAACAGTAAAGTGGGTAATAGAGACTTACAGAAAGAGAAGCTATGCAGGGTATTGGCCAGCTGATAATTTAAAATTCTTCCTTGGGCAATAAAGATACCTGCAGTGCAATTTAATGGAAGTTTACTCAGAAGCAAATCCAACTCTGTTCAATGAAGCTTACTGTATGGTTAACTGTACACAGAACTGGAGCCTTCCCAAATTTCTCAGGAATCTGGTATTCTGAATAAAAATTAAGTGTATAGGAGTTACGTACTTAATCCCCCACCACCACCAAAAAGACGCCACGAGAACTCAAGTGTTTAAGAGCAGTGTATAATGATCCTAATGGCAAGGCTTGTTTGACCCTTCAGATAGTTTCCCTCCCACACCTTTCTGACATGGAACTCTAGAGCAAAATTGGAAGCCATCTAAATATTCAAAAGCAGCAGTGACATGGATCATGTCCTGTGTTCTGTAAGGCAACAATCCAAGCACCCTCCAGATTTCATGGGTGTGGAAAAATCTTGAAAAGCAAGTGAGACACAGTACTCCACTAATGGCAGCAGAACATTCTGCCAGTCTAACTTGAGAGGCTAGAAGGGTTTGTAGTGCAAGAAACATAGTTATATATTGCCTCAAGCTAACAGAGCAAAGTGGATGCTCAAACTTATTTTATTGAAGGAGGGAAGCTCATCGCTTACTTTAGATTCAGTGGGAATGCAAGCTAAGAATGGCCATTGTTGTTATCTAGCATAGAGATCTACCTCCTAAGTAGAAGCTTGGGCTGCTTGAAATCAGCACCGGAAGTTTTTTTACTGAGGACTAACTGCCTACACTGAAAGGTGTAAACAGACTTCTTCTACAAATAAAAAAAATGTGAAAACCAAAACAAATGCTGAGTTTTCGGAAGCTGGGAAATTAATGAATCCCACAAAGTAAAAGATATGCCTTGTGTCGCATTCAGAAACAAAAAGCATTAAAAATTTGGACAGAAGTACTCATAATCTTTCCAGAACACGTACCAAAATATTTAACCCAACAAAGAAGATGGAACATCTCTAACAACAGAACTGCACAGGTATCCATATTCACTCTGTACCCACTGCCACCAAGTTTTGGAAAAACTTACGTTGCATTTTGGTTCTTTAATCGGTTTTTGGGACGTCCTATTGGGTTGGCATAACGCCGCTTTATCTGTGCTGCCTTCTTGTGTAGAAGTTTTCTTCCTTTTTTACGTGGCCGACATATCTGACATATCCACATGCCTGTAAAGTGAACAGACTCATCATAATGTATGTCAACATCTGTTTGACCCAGAGAACAATACCGTATTATTTATATAACCTAAGAATGGCCCTGCTGGGCACGCAAGTGGCCCATCTAGTCCAGCCTCCTGTTCTCACAGTGCCCAACCAGATGCTCATGGAAAGCCCATGAGCAGGACAGGAACACAACAGCAATGCTCTCCCTGGAGTACTGCTTGAGTGTTCAAACACTTCAAATACATTCTCTGCAGTCACAGAATCATAGAGTTCCCTACGCCAACTTTTAACATATGGTAGTAGTATTATGACCCTGTACTGCAGATTTTTGAGGGGTGGGGGTGAGGAGGAGGAGCTGAGGCTGACAGACTTGTGGTTTCCCTAAGGAAACCTAGTAAGCTCATGGAAAAGGCCAGATTCAAGCCATGGTCTTCTTCATGTCTCGCAGCTCACACTCTTATTCACTACAACACTATCTGTAAAGTAATAGTAGCCTATGCTACTATTCTGTTCTGCCTGTTAAAGACATCTATAATTTGAAGGCTAAAAGGGTTGTTTGTGTGAGTTTCTCCCCCTGCAGCATCTTTTAACCCTTTCTTACCTTTTGGCATCCTGGTCAGAGGGGGGTCACAACATTCCATGTGAAAGCCACGATCACATGAGTCACAAAATAGCATATTATCCTGCGAAGTACAGAAATTTCAAGTTACTGCAATTCAAGCACTTAGACCAAGAACACTCTTTTCTGTTATCATCAAATATAACCACTATGATTCTAGGCTGAGAGGGGGTATTCCAGCTGCAGACTGGTATCTTCCTGCCTGTGCAAGGATGAGGAAGGGAAACTGCAAGAAATATATAATCAGAAGCTGCAATTACGCTGTGGCCCTCACACTGCAGAGGGACCGTGTGGGCAGGCGGCTTCTTAAAAATGCTCTGTTGAAGGGCAAGCGGCTGCCCATGCCTCAGCAGAGCAGTCTAACGAAGCTTCGACTCTGGCTCACATGTATGGGTATGTAGGCAAAGAGGCAATCCTGGTCTCAAACTGTATAGGGCAGGCATGTCCAAAGTCCATTGGGGGAGCCCTAATCTGGCCCGCCAGTCGGTTTAATCCAGCCCCTGTGGCAGTTTATTTCTTGGGGTAAAATCGTAAAAAAAAACCTCAACAACTGAAAACCTAAAAGCAGCTCAACAACTTCAATCCCCAAAAAAGGTCAACAACCTTGGTCGGCCCTTTGGTCGGCCCCCACGGCCCTTCATTTCATCAAATCTGCTCTACTTTGAAAAAAGTTTGGACACCACTGGTATAAGGCTTTGTACACCAATACCGGCCCCTTGAACACAGCACGGTAGCTGATTGTCAGCCAGTTAGAGTAGCAGTTACTACTTGCAAGTGCTGTTTCAAACTGTTTTCACTGCTTTATTTGTTTCTATTAATAGAATACTATAATTTCCTGCTCTGGTAATATTTTATTGAAAGGTTGGTTAAATATTTTCTAGATAAATATTTGCCTATAACTGTTATGCAATCAAAGGAATAAACACTGAATTAATGAGGCAGAAAGAATATTTTGTTTATTCTATTTACAAAACTTTTCTTCCTATATTCCTTTAAAATATTTGTACCCTACTTTTCTGCTTAAAAATCATCTGAATTAGCATAAATGAGCACAAATGCAACCAATATAGATTATTTTTAAAAACAATAGCTTGCAGAGAAAATTGCAGTAGAAACAAATAAACTCAAATCTTAAGTAGGAAGAATAACCAAGACCTCTCCACTAAACACTTCTGGAATAGGAAGTTTTAACCTGTTAGTAAAATGCAAGAACATAGCCTAGGTGCAATGGCCATAAAGGTCCTGCCATGCATACTAACCCACCTAACCTCAGAAAGTGGAGAGAGACAGAGCAGCACCAGCAGACTCTTTGGGGAGAAGGCAGACCCCCCCTAAGATCTCAGGCTGTTCAGGGCTTTGAAGGTTGACGGCCAGAACTGGGCTCAGAAGCAAATAGGGAACCAACACAACCGATACGACAAATGCTCTCTGCAGAACCACCACAATTTGTAGCAATTAAAACTTGAACATACTTTTCCAGCACAGCATGCTGTAGTAGTCCAGCCTGGACGTTTGCACTGTGCACATGTCTATGGCAAGGTCAAATCTCACCGCCAACTGCAGAATCTCATGCAATTAGTTAGAATATGAACATGATCCAGAAGGTGAATGTCCAGGTACTCACAGCATTCTTGCCCTGATCTCGACAGGAACTGCATGTTTTGCACTCAATGCACTGCCATCGTAAGGCCTTCACACGAACTGTTAACTCTGGGGAGAACTTCAGGCAGGATGGATGACCTACACCAAGGTGAAAACAATTTCAGTTAAACTAAGTAGGAACAGCCTGTGCTCAGGAAGAGCAGAAGGTACAGGTTCTATTGCAGTTAACATTTGACATCTTAAAAAGACTCCAGTTCTGCCAGAGCAGTTCCGTGTGTGCTTGGCACTCTGGGATGAACCCACAATATGTGTTTTTGGAAGGGAAGTTGGTTTCTTGCCCAAACACTCAATATTCAGAGGAAAGAGGAAACAAAACCCTTGAGGAATTGCATGAATAGTTCTAACCAAACATGATTCCAATATGTACTTAAGTACTTGCAGAAATTATGATGTGCCCAAATAATGCCAAAGAAGCCGTTCATGAGGTGAGCTTTGTAGATTAGCCCTGCCCCCCCCCCAGCCTGCCAACACACCTTTATATTCAAAGGTGGAGCTTACTGGGTTTCTATGTTGGACACGCTGGAGGCAGAACCCTGTCCAGTTCATCCAACATAGTAGGTGGCAACCAAGGCACAGATAGGTCCCTGCTTTCTTAGTGAGTCTCCTGCACTTCAGTGCTGGACATACAAAAGGAAAAGCTCCTTCCGGTGTATCCAGCATACAATTAAAGAAACCTGGTTCAATAACAGAGACACAGACTGTCATCAGCTCACCATGTTTCTGTTAAATGCAAAAAAAGATTCATTGGCTGTGAGTCTAGCACAGAGCTTTCCAAACTTTTAATGTTGGTGACACACTTTTTTGTCATGCATCATTCCATGACACAGTAATTCAGTTTTACTAGCAAACTGGAGGTTAAACTAACCCCTTTCCAGCGTTCACGCAACATACCTACACACTGCAGCCGACAGACATGTGCTGCAACACACAGTTTGAAAAGCTCTGGTCTAACACATTAACATGGTGAGCTAATGGTGAAAGGGTAGAGCCCTTCTTGACTCCATTTCCAACCTCTTGGTTTCTATGGTAGGCAGGGAGCTTTACCTCCTATGTATCCAGTGCACTGCCAGAGGATGCGTGAAATGCTCTATGCCTATGCTAGTAAGCCACATAGTTTCTATGCTGGATGGGAAGGGGGGCTTCCATTTCTCCTTGACCAGCATAGGAACCATGTGGGAGGAGATGTCAGGAGATGTGAAGAGCACTCCATGCAGAAGCCCACTTCGTTTCTGCAATGGGTAGAGAGGAGGCAAAGCACCAACTTTCATGCACAATATATAAATGCGGTGGGTTGCCAGAGGACAGCCTGAGCCTTCTGTTTGTCTTCTAGCAGCTCACTCAGTTGTCTGAGTGAAATTCCACCTACGCTCACCAGGCAAGCAGCTAAAAACAAAGCTGCATTAGGCTAAAGGGCACATCTGCAGGGGACATTGATTCCCTGCACATTGCATTTTTTAATAGAGCTGTTGGTGGTATCTGTGTGACAAAGAGTCTTCCCAGCCTACAATGAACCTTCTTTCCAAGCAACTTCTCTTTTACTTCTCTTTCAGCAGCAAAACTCTAGAGCAAGAAATACTTTACCACACAACTTTTCAGCCCCAACATGAACTCTGGTCATATTAAGTTTTGCAAGTTTCTGCACTGCTCCAAGCATTACCTCAGAAAACATAAAACTAATCCCTAGCAGCATAGCCAGGCATAAGGAGAAGTGTAACTACAGTGGATATTGCCCATGACAAGCAGTCTTGAAGCAGTGCTCCAGCTGGGTTAAAAAGGTGTTATTTTTTTTAAGTTAGCTTGTTAAATGTGCACAATGAATGCATTTGCAGGTCACCAATTCAATAGATCTCATTGCCCAAAATGCAGGCAGCCACCTACCACTATTGCCGCAATCAGCACAAGAAATGAGCTCTTCAGGTTTCTTTTCTCGGTTTTGTTCTTTTGTGCCAAGGCAGAAGCTGCAGATTGGGATTGGTTCAGCAACTGGCTGTGGGGGAAGGAGACGAATAATAGAGATTTTCATTAACTGTATCATATTTGCAAAACATATACTGAATGAAGACATTAGAGCAGAGATAGCTAACTCAGGTCAAAAGTATCGAGACATAAGCAATTCGTTTCCTAGGGCAGTGTTAGAAAATCAGATATATAAGCAAGGAGCCAAATGACTCCTTAAACCAAGGTTACAGTCACCAAAACAAAATGTTTAGTTGCCATTTTTGGGTAAAATAGCTCAGAAGTCTTGTTTTTCAAATGATGGATTGACTGTGATTGATTCTCAGTTAAACATCTGGCTAACTCAGACGACTACCTTGAGTTAGGTTAACTTGGAGAACTTAAAAGTCACTTGATTCAGGAACATGCCCACCTACACAGTACATTGGCCTATTCCAACCTCTCTTTCTTAATGGTGACATAATAACGTAAGAATATTCTTCACCACTATGAGAAGGACAGTGGGGTGAGGTAAGTGAAGACAAGCTACAACTAATAACTATAACTATTAACTATAATGTTGTTTACTGCTACTGCTCAGGCTGCACACAGAAAAAGCATATTGGTTCCAGAAATTCATTCTGATTATGCAGATAAAATATAACTGATAGAATTCTACAGGATGTGGTATGAGTGAGTGGAAAGAGTCAAGACCCAAGGATGATCAGAAATGCACCTCCAAATGGTGGTGATGTCAGGTGCCATCCTGGTGCCCAGGCATCTTCACTTGGTTGCAAGTGGTCGATAGCCAGGTGCAAAATGCAACTGGCACCTGGCTAATTTCAAACACTGTCCTAGGGTGTTAGACAACTACGCTTTATTCAGAGAGAAACTAATGGGTCTAACTTAATCATGGTCATTAATTTCAATGGGTCTGCTCTGAGTAAAACTTAATTGAAGACCACTCCTAGTCCCTGTCCCTACCTCAGAAATTCAGAGAGCACTGCAGTGAAGATATATATACAAAGGAAGCCAGTTCCAAGTGATTGCAATGAGAGCAGACTGCAGGTGCTGGGCCTGTATTGGTCACGGAGACCATTTTGAGTGGTACTCAGGACCTGATGTAAGTGTTGTGGTACAGACTGGAAAACAGTGACTACAATGCTATCAAATTCAACTTATAGGCAAGTGGGCAACTGCCAAGGAAGTCAAACAGTCACACAGAACTTCAAAGGAGAAAACTGAGGGGATTGGCAGAAAGGAACTAGAAAGGCAAAGTTAAATTTATCCAGACTGCCATGAGGTTATTCAAAAGCATAATGAAGGTTAAATTATATAATATATACCACAGATCAGGAAAGGTGCCACAAAGGTCTACAGGATGTGTGGCTAACAAGCAAAGTCAATAACATAGAGGCAAGAATGTGTTTTTCACAAAATAGATGAGATGACAACAAAAAGCAACAAAACATTGGCAAAATAAAGGAAAGCTGACAACAAAAAATACAAAAAAGAATTTCAAGGAGTTCATCACTAAAAACATTATGCCTAGTAATAAAACATTATTTAACAAATTAGAAGCAAGAAAAATGCTTAGGGATGATATTGGACATTTGGATGACATTTGGTCAAATGTGTGCTAAGGGAGGAAAAGGAGACTGATGGGGAAATGAACGAATCCTTTCAACAGTATTCACGGCAGACGGGCAGAGCCCTGTGCCTGAGCTAGTCAGAGAAACCAGGGCAAAGAGTGGAGAGAAGGCATAAAGTCCTAGGCCTTAGTGACAAAACAAACCAACAAACAGGAACTTGAGAGTAGGAAAAAGTGGACAGCTCCCACATTGGAGAAATATATAGTAAGTGGGGGTCAACCATGGATCTGTATTGGGACAAGTTGGAGTTGGGCTGGAAAGTGAGAAAGTCAAACCTGGAGGTGGCAACAAATTGATCAGGGTTCTAGAAACAAGAACTCCCAAAGGAGCTCTCCAAACTGGATGAATGGGAGCTAAAAAAAGCAAATGCAGTTAAATGTCAGGAATTGCAAAGTTATGCACATGGGGACAAAAAATCCTAACCTACACAGCAATGGGTTCTGAATTGGTGATGGCTGGCCAAGAATGAGATCCTGGAGTTGTAGTGAAGGTATCAACCCAGTGTGCAGCAGCTGAGAAAACGGCAAATTCCATTTTAGGGATCATTAGGAAAAGGAGTGAGAATAAAACCACCCAAATCTTAATGCTGTTATATAACTCTATGGTCCACAGTTCTGATCAATGATCCCCAAAGAAGATACTCATGAGGCAGATTTACAACATTTGGAGCTTTTTTAGTTTAGAGAAAAGAGAAGTGAAAAGGGGTAAATTACAGAAATGTATAAGATTATCACACGGTGGAGAAAGTGGACAGAGAAAAGCTCTTCCTCCTCTCTCATAATACTAGAAGCCTGTGGGGTCATCAAAAGAAGGTGAATATTGGAAGATTCAGGACAGACAAAAAGAAGTACTTCTTCACAACTATGGGAATCTGTAGGCACAAGGCATGGCGATGGTTACTGACTTGGACAGCTTTTAAAAGGGATTAGACAAATTCATGAAGGTAAGGCTATCAATGGCTACTAGTGGTGACAATTATATATGATTTTTAGTATCAGAGAAAGTAGGCCTCTTGAGTAAGAGAGTGTCTACTCATGTCCCATGTGTGTGCCTCTGACACACATTCACTTGGCCACTATGAGAACAGGATGCTAGACTAGACGGCCTGATCCAGCAAGGCTCTTCTTGTGTTTTTATTTTTCATGTGGAAAAGGTAATAGCAGTTCCACAGTTAATTCGTTCTGGAGTTCCGTTCTTAACCTGAAACTGTTCATAACCTGAGGTACCACTTTAGCTGATGAGGCCTCCTGCTGCCGCCGTAGCACAATTTCTATTTTCATCCTGAAGCAAATTTCTTAACCCGAGGTACTATTTCTGGGCTAGCGGAGTCTGTAACCTCAAGCCTCTGTAACCTGAAACTTCTGTTACCCGAGGTACCACTGTACCACTCTATTCTGCCTTGGTCAGACCACACCTGGAATACCGTGTCCAATTCTGGGCAACACAATTTAAGAGGGTGTTGACAAGTTGGAACATGTGCAGAGGAGGGTGACCAAGACGATCAAGGTCTGGAAACCAAGACTTACGAGGAGCACTTGAAGGAGCTGGGTAGGTTTAGCCTGGAAAAGAGAAGGCTGAGGAGATATGATAGCCATCTTCAAATATCTCAAGGGCTGTTACATGGAGGAAGGAATAAGCTTGTTTTCTCCTGCTCTGGAGGGTAGAAATCAAAACTAATGGCTTCAAGTAACAAGAAAGGAGATTCCAACTAAACATCAGGAGAAATTTTCTGATAGTAAGAGCTGTTCAACAGTGGAATGGTCTCCCTCGGGAGGTTGTGAACTCTCATTTCTCATTTCCTGGAGGCTTTCAAGCATGGGTTGGATGGCCATCTGTCATGGATATTGTAGTTGAGATTCCTACATTGCAGGGGTTTGGACTAGATGACCCTTAGGGTACCTTCCACCTCTACAATTCTATGATGTGATGATTCTATGATTCTACTACACAGGGTTTGTCAGAGAAAAAATGTATCACTTAATGCATTCCACCTGGAGCACTTTGGAGAGAAATGGGAAGCGAATGTGATTAGTACTAACATTATTTATATATGTACAATGCAGGCCTTGAATACTAATTGACTATGGGGAATGAAAGCTCTCAGTCACCCCAACATACTCAGTCAGAGAAAATTCAATAGTAAAAAGGTTCCCACCTCCATAGATTAAATGCATTGCTTATTTTCGCACCAACTGATGGTTCATTTGTCTTTCCAATGTCCTTTTAAAATATATGAAAAAGCTACCCTCTTTCTTTCTTCTCTCCCGCTATAGCTTTATCTTTTTTTACTTTCACCAATGTGAATGTGATCAAGAATCCTAGTTTTCTTTTCAAAAGAGCCATCTAGCCTTTTTAGTTGCATAGACAACTTTTGAGCATGTACAAGCAAGCATGTCAGTGAGAATGTTTAGTCCCTAATAAGCTCTTCTCTGCTCTTAAGAAATGGTTTTTCTCTCTTAAGAAATCAACTCCGGCCCTCCAGGTGTTTGGGACTACAATTCCCATCATCCCTAGCTAACAGGACCAGTGGTCAGGGATGATGGGAATTGTAGTCCCAAACACCTGGGACTATGCCTATGCCTGGATGCCTTCCAAACCATAAAAACTTTCATGAGCTGTAGTAAAGAACAAAAGCATGTACATTTGCATCATATAATCTTGAAAGACACTCATAATCTTGAAAGACACTCATATAATCTTGATAGACACTCATCTACATAATCACAGTTGCCCTGAGAATGCAACAAAGGGAAGGGATAACTCTTTGGCCCCTGCCATCAGTTTCACCACTTCTACCACACCAAAACCACCAGCAAGGGAAGAATGGCTTCATCAGCTGGATATACCGTATTTTTCGCTCTATAAGACGCAACAGACCACAAGACGCACCTAGTTTTTGGAGGAGGAAAACAAGGGGGGGGGGGAATCTGAATCTCAGAAGCCAGAACAGCAAGAGGGATCGCTGCGCAGTGAAAGCAGCAATCCCTCTTGCTGTTCTGGCTTCTGGGATAACTGCGCAGCCTGCATTCCCTCCATAAGACGCACACACATTTCCCCTTACTTTTTAGGAGGGAAAAAGTGAGTCTTATAGAGCAAAAAATACAGTAAATGTTTGTTTATTCTGGGTTGTTAAACTGATTGTTCTCCCCCTTTCCATAGTGTTTGGCCTGTAGGTCTGAGTGCAGGATCTGTGCCTCATTGTTTGATTGATGTGAGCCTACTTTGGAAGGCAAAATTCATCTGTAGTGAGATAAAAATATAAAATGAAACAAAACATCATCCCTAAATTTCTCTCAGAACTGCAGCTTCCTACCCTCTTATTCCCATCTTGTGTTCTCCTGGCTGCCATGAGTATTTTTCTCCTCAGTCTGCACTGCTGAGAGCAATAGAAACCTTCCTT